CTAAATTAAACACTGTCCCCCAGTCCCAACATGTTTAATTTATACAGGTTTTACTGTACATGTCTTCTCTTCTGGATCGTCAATAAGTCAAATTTTGATTTCCTTTTTAACCAATCGTTGCCGTGCTCAGCAAAAAAATTCCAAAAGCCGGCGTGGCTACACGATGGCAGCACTTAAAGGAGATGATAACGGCACTAAAGACAACGCGAATGCACCTTGGATGCTTCCAGACTGGGAAGAATACAGTGAATCAGCTAAAAGCAGCATTGGTGTGAATTGGAGCGATGTCGAGGCTGATGTGAGTCTGGACACGGCTAGCAGTGTGACTAGCACTGAGCACCAGCGTGTATATCGCATGCAACGCGTTAGAGGTGGCTATTCGGGCACAAAACAACAAAGCTTAAAAGACATGCACTTGGTGTATATGCAACGCAGACAAGAGGAGACTTCTCGAGGACTTTCGAGTGTCCACAGCAGCACCAATTGGTTTCAACCCGTATCTTGTGTGTCACCCCGAATTCTGAAGGAAAAACAACAGTCGCCAATGGTAAAGCAGATGGATAATATAGCGGAGAGGAAATTGCTAGTGCAACAGAAAGAGATAAGTGCAGAGCTTCAAGCGGTGAGAAAGCAGCTGGGTGATTTTCAGAGTATTTGGCAGAAGACTATCAAAGCAGATGTTGTCGTGTCAGCAAAAGAGGAAGAAAGCTCACAAGGATCGACGGTGCAAAGCTCTTGCTCTTCTCAAGTTCCTTTTCGACAAAAAAGAAAGGAAGCAGCAGTTCAGACGGAGGAAGACGATGCAGTGATACAATGGCTCTTGCTGCTTACGCAAGAAGTGGAGAGGATGGGAAGAAGCTACTCTCATAAATCAACTGATAATTTACTATCGGAAGTGTCATTTCAAGCTGAAAGCTACAATTGTAACTATGGCGACGATAATGCAAATGTGACGCTTGTCGCGAATGACAAAAATACGACTGTGGAGTCATGGCATATTGGACATGCACTCAAAAATGTCGTTCCATCAGAAGTAGCGAAACATTTCTTAGCTTTAGAAATTGCTATTGCAAGTTTAAATGAAGCTGTGGAGCAGCAAAGACGTCGACACTGTATCAACTATGATCGTGCGATACAACAAGTACAAGGGTATCATCAAGAGCGATTGCAGCGTGTGATTGACGAGTCACTTGCAGAACTAAAACTTGTTCGAGGGAGATACAAGAAGAAGGAAACTTGCTTAGAGGAAGAGCTGCGCACTGCGAAAAATGAAATTGAACAATTGAAACAAAGTTCAGCAGAATCCAAACACAGAGAGAAATTAGATCGAGAATCGTTAGAGTTTCAGCTTGCATTGGCAAAGGAGCAGGTGCGTTGTACTGCCTAGAAGATTTTGAATGGAATGACTGATGTTGTGTATTCTAAAATCATAGCACAGTCATAATTGCCGACGTTACGAAAATGAATTAGAGCAATTAAGAACACAACTAGACGTCGTGCAAGCCGAGCGAAAACAAATGGCAAGTCAACATAGAGATACTCGTGAAGTCATTGTGCAGGCAAAAGAGGGGGCAGCTGCACTAGAGCGGCAGTGTCAAGCTTTAAAAACTCAGCAAGAGCAGGCGAAGGAGCTACATGAGCGAAAGGTCCGCGAGCTTCAAGACACGATTCAACAGCTACGTGAAAGCAAGAAGGTTTTGGAGACTCAATTTGCCAACGATAAAGACGCTTTGATCAAAAGTATGGAACATTTTAAAAGATCAAAGCAAAAAGAAGTGGACGACCTCGAAGTGCGCTTTCGAACTGAGTTCGAACAAAAGATAATACATGACAATCTTCCCGAGAAAGTGGAAAGTCTTAAGAAAGAACATGAAGAAGTATTGAACACAATAGCAACAGAGCACAAACGTCAACTTGAGCAATTAGAGGTGAAATTACAGAAGACGCGAATTGTTGATTCTTCTAGCGTGCGTAACATCGAGACACAAACCGATGTGCCTTTCATCGAAGCGAAAACGTCTCGAGTGAACGACGAGACTCATGCAGAAATCGAAAAACTTCGAAGACGTTGTCAAGCTTTGGAAAAGCTACTGGACAGAAAATTCCAAGAGACGTTGTTGCCAATATCAAGTCGCAAGTGTGAATCTTGTCATTCAGATGACGATATTTCAACCAAAAGTTTTCGTCAAGATGATGTCAATGGCAATCGTACTAGCATTCAAAGTTTCAACAGTATTTACTCCGTTGCAAGTGGAAAAAATCGAGCACTCGCTCGAGCTCTTCTCGATTCTTCACGTAACACTCAACTATCTGGTAGCAAATGTCTCGGTTCATCACATAATTCACTCAACAGTCAATTATCTGATAACAAAGAATCAGTTTCAATTATGAACGAAACAACATTGGCCACTGATGAAGCAACATTGGGTTCACATGAAATGTGGGATTCCGCCTCGTTCACGTCTATTGATACAACAGATGACGTCTCTTCTTTTGCTTTAAAGTATGTGACACCTCGTCAACGGACGCAAGAAATGCTATCACTTGTCCGTCAAATGAAACAATCAGTTGCTTCATCACATGAAAGTCTTGAGCCTGATCCAGAGACAAGTTGGGTAACACCCAAGCAGAACTTTTCGATGATAAGACACTTCAATGTGAAAACTGGTAATTTGAATTCTTTACCTAATATTGCCGGGGGAAGGTCCGACACACTAGGCACATCAACCTTCGATGATCTGTTAGAATAAAGGGCATTAAAACATTTCGGATTACAATATAATAATTTACAATTATTGCAATAATTTAAGTTACTATACAATCAGATATTTTCCCATGCTGTCATCAAAACTCCTACGTACGAGGTTTGTCACTCGCAACGTGTCAACGTCCGTCGCGAATTCGCATCTTCTCGTGATTAATGCTGGCAGCTCATCTCTCAAATATTCACTGTTTAATTTGCACTCGAATGGTGTGGGTGCTGCTGTTTTCACAGGCCTCGTCGAACTATCGACATCTAGTAACAAGAATGGACGCATTACACACAAGACTCTCGCAACTGGTAAGAAAGATCTTATCGAGTTGCCTTTAAATTCACATCGAAACGCCTTTGAGACTGCTGTGAATGAATATTTTGGATCTTATCTTGACGGTATTAAAGCCGTTGGCCATCGCGTCGTACATGGTGGCGAGACTTTCAATTGTGCTTCACTAGTGGATAATCAAGTCATTGAAGCCATAAAATCCAATATCAAATTGGCTCCACTGCACAATCCAAATAATTTATTGGGAATTCAAATGGCGACCGAACTTTTTGGTTCATGTCCACAAGTTGTGGTTTTTGACACGGCATTTCACGCTACAATGCCACCGAAAGCTTTTACTTATGGTATTCCATACAAACTTTACAATGATTTAGGCATCCGTCGCTATGGTTTTCACGGTACAAGTCACCAATATGTAGCGAAAAAAGCTGCGAGTTATTTAAATGAATCTTTGGATGAATGTAATTTCATTACATGTCATTTGGGTAATGGCTCTAGTCTTGCTGCAATTGAAAATGGGTATTGTATTGATACAAGTATGGGAATGACTCCACTCGAAGGACTAATAATGGGTACACGTTGTGGTGATATTGATCCAGCTCTTCACGCTTTCTTATGTAAAGAACTTAATATGACTATTGAGGAGGTGGATAGTATGCTTAATAAAAAGAGTGGTCTTCTTGGAATCTGTGGAGATAGTGACATTCGTATTATTCAAGACCGTGTACGTATGAAAAATGATATTTATGCTTCATTAGCTTTAGATGTCTTTGCTCACCGTGTTCGCAAGTATCTTGGAGCTTACATACTGGAAATGAATGGGAAATTAGATGCGCTCATTTTTACGGCAGGAATTGGTGAGAATTCAGCGATAATTCGTGAACGTGTGTGTCAAAATCTTTCATTTTTTGGAATTGAACTGAATGATGAAAAGAATGTCATGTCAATTATGGGCTCAGGTCCTGTGGAAATTCAGTCAGAGAATGCAAGGACGAAAGTGTTGGTCATTAATACAGATGAAGAACGTAGCATTGCAGAACAAACTTACGAAGTAGCTTTGACTAAAAAATCTTGAGATCAATACTATTGTGATATGCTCATCGAATTTATGATTACGAGCTTCCAATACTATCACATTTCTCTATTCTCGTCTCCCCTTTTTCGTCTTGTTTCCTTTTTTCTGCTTCGTCATAGCATCCTTCACAATCCGATCATAATCATCAGCACTAGCAAACATTCCTTTTCGTTTTTCTCCACTCTTAGGAAGTATCTGTTTCTTTTTCTTAGCATCGAAACTTTGCATTTCTTCTTGAAGTACTTGATCCTCATCATCTGCATCTATAATCGAAAAGTCCAAATCTTTCTCTAGTTCCTCTTCATCACTCTCATCTTCCTTCGAATCTTCATCCTCTAAATCACTCCATCCACTCACATCAGGATCTTCATCATCATAATCTCCATCTTTCATCATTCCTTCGGCCAATTCTTGAGCAAATGCATCAATCTCAGCATTATCTTCAATATCCACAAGTGCCTCTTCATTCTTTTCATTCTTCGATTTCTTTCGACGATTCTTTCCATGTGTAGTTTCTCGAATTGCACGTTCTTTAAAAAATTTGTAAAAAAATTCATCACTTGCTTCAACATTCGTTTCTAAAACACGTTCCGTATTAATTGGAACAAATGTCCAATTCTTAGCTTTCGTTCCATTCAAATTCTTCGTTTCCAAAACTTTCTGACGAGGTTTTTTATTCACAAATTTCTCAAAAAATGCATGCATCGTAAAATCCACTAATGGATCACCAGCGTTTTGAATTCCCATCTGATGCTCATTTTCAATTAATTGTCGAGTAAAACTCTGTACTGACGGATGATAATGATGAGTAAAAAGCAAAAGTTCCCACAAACATGCTTTCTCTGCACCAGCATATAATGGATTTCGTTTTTTCGCATCGTACCCCATTTGTACCTTTGTCGAATTCAAGTGTACCCCATTGTTTTGACAAGACATACTATCTTTGTCATTTTCAAACATTCGAGCCAAAACTTTTGCTGATCTTTCTGTTTCATTCACTAAATCGTCACCTTCTTCACTTTCATTCTCTATCTCTTCATCCTCATGTTCAACTTCCTCACTCTTGACATCATTAAAGTGCTCCATATCATCATCATGACCATTTCCAGAACCAATTTCAGGTTGATTTAATAATGTTCGTAATTGTGGCTTTACTTTGAGCAATTCCGACAATAAAAACAAGACTCCACATACAAAAGCTGGTGTCATGCTACTAGCTACTTGTAGCAAACGTTTCATAAATGCTCCAACACGTGCAGGTGATACATCTGCTTTCATAGCTCGAAAAATCAAATTGAGAAAAAGTGTATGTTTTGACGTTTCACGTACTTTTGGATCAAGTAACTTGTGATATAACGCAGTGTAAAATCGATCGGAAACGGAATTAGTACTATTCATAACTTGGAATAATAACATTAATGCTTGTACACTTGTACTATGATGAGCACGATGTACCACTTGAAACAACGCATCAATCTCATTTCGCAACTGAAGTGAAGTTGTATTTGCATATGGAAATGCACGATTCACCCCAACTAGCAACGCACTGAGTAATTTACGATCCATAGCTTCATTTGAAATAGGTACATGTTTCTTTTTTGTCTTTTTGTGCTCATTTTTCGTTTTGGGCACTTTATCTTGATTATGTACTTGTTTCGTAAATAATCCAAAATATACTAAAATCAAATGATTTGCAAGATCAGCATCCACGCCACCACTTTCAAGATAAATCTGATTCAAGTATAACACAGCATTGTATTTGGCACGATCTGATACTTTTGATCGTGTCAACAATCGTTCAACTTCATCTACTACCACACGTTTCATAGCTGGATGATCATGCAACAATTCTTGCAACATTCGATGTATGTACGCAGCAATTTTACGGTCAGGATCCCCAAGTTTATTTACTAGCATAGCCAAAAGTACCACTTCTTGTTCCGGTTTAGCCTTTAATAATGCATTAGTTGTACGAAGACACGCACGCTTGTGACAGTCAATGGCATCGTCCATTCCAGAAGCCAAAACATTCAGAAGTTGAGTGTACACACTTTTTAAACAGTGTTCAAAAAACCATAAAACCAAGTGACCAGGTGAGTGCAAAGCTGCACGCAACGGATGTTGATGAAAAAAACGAAGTTTTGCCTCATTTGGCAATAAAGTATTGAGAAAAAGATCTTTTAGTGAATCAATTGCCATGAGACTCTCCCGTCGCGCTTTCTTACTCGCCATAGTGATAAGCTGGCCAAGACGCAAGAGTGAGTGAAGTGGTGACGCTTGTATTGTGAGCGTGAGTGCAGCGACGCGATCGGACAAAGTACCTGATTTCATCATTGTTGCCAAATACTTGTCATCACTTGACATTTTGCTACTTTTTTGCGCCTCGAAACGTGCCACTTCAGTTTCGAGCAACTGTTGCGCTTGTTGCTTTAAAGTAACCACCAGTTCGTCAGTTGCATTAAATGACTCGCTAGCTTGATGTTTAAGCTTTGGCTTAATCTTCGGCTCAACATCGTACCAGGACACACCCTCTCCAAGCAGCGTCACGAGCTGGCTCAAGTTGCCAGTCTCCATCTTGTTGTCTTTCATTGCTTTCTACTACTTTGGAGCCAACCAACTGTGGAAGACGATACAGTCTTTACAATCTGTTTACACAGGTGATGTAACATGACATGCATAATATTTTGGCTAAGCCTGCAATTCGTTTTTTCATTGCAATTTCATATCAGAAATCGAAAAATATGGATGGCAACTTATTTTACTCTAAACGTTAGGCAAAATTGGAGTCGTTAAGTTAACTAATGCATGTTTATACTTCAATTTGATCCAACTAACCAAATCGAGAGCAACAACGCAAACAATCATCGACTACGAGTCCAACGCAATGCCACTCCGTGCAACATTTGCCGCTTCTTGAGCCTGTTGAAGTGCATGAACTGAATTCATATAGCGCATCAAAAGTTGCCGAAGGCTGTGATCCTGTTCGCGCAACTTTTCCACGGCAGCTTTCGAGACGTTGCCACTTGTTTCATGCTTCAGTACCGCATCTGTCGAGTCTAGCAAACTATCTACAAGATTATAAGGAATCCATGGCAAATCGGGCAACTTCGTGCCTATTTTCTGAGTTTGAGCTTCAAACTTTAAGTTGATCTGGTCCATACTGTCTGATAACAGACTTTCAACCAGTTGCAGACCTTCACTCAGCAAACCATGTTTCAAATAAAGTATCAGCAACTTTGCAGGGTTGCCACACGTTGAGTCGCTTAAACGATTACGTAGCCACAATGGCAACTTTAGTTTCCGATTATTTTGTTGCCACATATCCAACACCGTCTCAGCCGCAATTTCATATTGTTGCAGTGATGCAACATGCAAAAGTACCATTTCCAGCAAATCCCACAACAAATCACGATCGGCTCGTGCAACTGAAGACGCCATTGTTGAATGGTCATTTGCGACACAATAACGTGCCAACGATTGGGTGAGGCCACACATACTTGCATTCGAGCATCTAGTTGCAATGTCAGTGGCCACTTCAATTGTCAAAACACCAGCTCGTCGACGTTCTGCCACTGTCGATTGGCCAACATTATGGCAACTATTATACACTGCATCAATGAGCAAGGCAATCACTTCATTTCCATCCATCGTACTTAAGAGAAGACTTTCCGAATGACCAATTGCCAACAATCGCAACTTTCCATCCAAAATTGCCAATTCTCGTCGCATATCATCAAGTGTTACAACATTTAACATCATCCGAGTTGCATAATTGCCATCACGTTTGGCCATTGCCAATTCTTCTGTGTGTAATTTACGTACAACCCATCGATTGGCAACTGGTAAAACTCGCAAAGCGTTACATGCAGCATTTAAAGCATTACGTTGAGATTCTAAAGCAATTTTGGACGTCGAAACCGCAAGACGCAGTCGAAGTGCAAGTGCGTAGAGTGACGACGCGGCGTTAGCAGGCTGTTGTTTGCGTAGGTAAAAAGAATAGAGTAAATTGTAATATCGTACAGCATTGGCATCGAGACCATCACTCTTCACCCCTGTGGCATTAGCAGCTTGCCACAAAATATGTTTTTCCACATGCAAATCAAGTGGTCCCCACTGTAGCTCACAGATCAAATCCAAGTGACCATAACGGTACAATTCCTTAACAAGATAATTCACGCATTCTCGCGCTGTTTCTTCCGCTTCTACCGTCGCTTCCGAGCCACTACAAGCACCAGACAAGTCAACAAGGTGCATGAGGGCAAGATGTGCGTCACGAAATAATTGCTCCTCCACGGAATATTTGAACACATTAACCCAAAGAAATGATTGCACAGCAAAACTTTGAGCATCATCCTCATGAGTGATGTGACCTAATGCTTGGGTGACTAAAGTCCATAAAAATCCTAGCAACTGGTCATAATGACCACGTGGTACTGTCTCTTTTAATAAACCCACGACATCGTAAATAAATTGATCTAGTGTTTGGTTCGGGAGTGATGGTCGATGTTGACGTTCAGCGAAAAAGTGGCACAGGCAAATGCGAAAGCAACGAATTGCTTGTTGGAAACACCATCGCGCATGTTGTGCATTTAGAGTTTGTGTTGCCGCCATTTGTCCTTCAGATGACAAACACTCTCCAATCGATCGAATGTATTGATGCATATGCTCAGCTTTGGCATTTTGCGCTTTCCGTGTCACATCCCGGAGAGCGCAACAAAATATAGCACGCAACAAGCGAAATTGGTGGTGTTTGTGCAAAAATTGCACCATTGCAGCGTGAGGTTGCGCCACATAGTGTACAATCTCTTGCATAAAAGCTACTAACACACCATGTGCATCTTCAAGTTGCACGTTGTTTGTCGCATTTGCAAGTTGCAACACAGAGAGTGCTCGTAAAAAGTTTTCCGAATGAGCAAGTTTGCGATTATTGTCCAATAGAAACGTCGAAAGCAGTGGTGGCAACAAAGTGGCCGATAGACCTTTGCCACTTTCGTCGTGAGACATTCCTCGTGTAGCAACATATTGGCAAAGTCTCCAACGTTGATAAATTGTGACAGCTTTAGGCAACACTTCCCGCTCGAGTTTACTTAAAGTAGAACAACTCAAAAAACTTGGTCGAGAGTCCACAATAAAGGCAAGAAAAAGTACCACACGAAGCGATTGATGGCACAATTCATCAATTATCTTTGTAGCCATTTGTCCAAATGCAAAACACATTTGAGAACTAGCAAACAACGTACGTGGAGCTTTGGAACTTGAATCTGTCGAGATTTCCGAGATGTTATAATCGTCTGAGTCACCGGCCATGTCTTCATCAAAGTCAAGAGGATTTTTCATTGTTGAATGGTGATACTTATGTGTCTCATCCATCTTGTCAAAAATAAATAATTGTGCAACAAGATCATTAAACACTTGGTCGTGAAAACTAATATCTCCACCAAGAATTGTACTCAGACGCAAAATTGACTGTGTCAGTGCAATTTCGGGGATACATTTTAAATCAATACTTTTTTTTGGCATCAATCCAAGACGAACACAATGTCGTGCCATAGCCACAAATGATTCAATTTTCCAATCCGAAGATACATCAAGTATTTCACGATGGATAAAAGATTGAAAACTTTGACTTGGAAATGCATCAAAGATCGGCAGTACGTCCAGTACTATCTCATCGACACATTCACTACTTGTAGTTTGTTTTTCTTTTTGAGACAAAAGTGATGTCGTGATTGAAAACGCAGATGGAAATAGAAACGACACACGATTACGTCGCAACATCACTGGTGTACCAGGAAGCAAAGCGTTTGTCGTAGTGATAAAACCAATGGGTACTGTTTCACAATGCCAGTGTTTTGTACATAATGCAATTAAATCTTTCCAAATTTGAACTCGTGCTAGATTTTGAGTCGATGGATTTCTATCACCAAATGATTCTTTTAAACGACTCGAAACAAAATGAATGAGCATTTCTTTATACTTGGACTCTTGAGTTTCACTTCGAAACGACTGAATACCAATATGAACATCATTACTTTCCCTTCCTTTCAATGCAGTTAATACATTCTGTCGAGAAAATCGACCAGGAAGTAAAATACGTTCCGTAAAAAAATCGTCAATTCTCGTCACGACATTTTCTTCCTTCAATTCAAAAAGCCAGTCATTGTCTTCCGTCTCAAACTTTTGCATTTGTACATCCAAAGTATTGATCACTTGACCCATAATTCGTTTTGGACCAGTTAATGCCATTGGATTTGGATGAATCATAACTTGCTCACTATCTAATGAACGCCATGAAGAGAATAAAAAGTTGGTATCAACTGCAAAATCTATCATTTTCAATCCACGTTTTCGTTGAGGTGACTCCATAGAAAAAATTCTTGCCGTTTGTAAAGCCAAATCGTAACTACTAGCACCAGCATTTGAGATTATAGTAGATGGCATGTCTCCTCGAAGCAAATAAATCTCTGATGAAGGTGATATTGTCGTGTCTAGATGTACCAGCAATCGGCAATTATCAGATGTTGTTGGTGGCAACGCGATGATCTTGGCATTAGTGAGATAGATGCTACTTTTTGGAGATTCATCTTCAGCATCTAAACTCTCGTCATTCCATTCATTCTGATCGTTTTCGTCCTCACGTATCCATGGCATAACTAAATTTCGTAAGTCTTGTCTTCCTATACACGATTGTGAGCCAAAACTCCACACTCTCAATACGCAATCCGTTGATATCGTCACAACACAAACGTCTTTTTCCTCATCTTTCTCATCATCATCTTCAACTTGAATACACGTCATGGCAATAACAGCAGCTCCTTCGTCTTGCTTTTCGTTTCGTTTTCCATTTGGCATGAATGTTGCAGTTGTTTTACGTAAAATACCATGCCAGATCCAACTCATAACAGATGTATCCGTAAACACAAATTCATGTATTTTTTCTTCATCTTGAGGAAGTCCAAAGTTTACACCAATGACTTGTCCACAATCTGTTCCAAGAACTACATTATATTCATTCACCCACAATGCTGTTGATACAATTTCATGAGATTTTAATGACTGAATGACGTCCCAATATTTTCGTGTAGCAACTTTTGGTTCTGGAAATGCCGTAACATTTGCATTTGAAAAGATACTACAATCTAATTCAGTAGGTACACGATACTTCAATCGATGGATTGTACCAGCGTGTGTCACAATGTTAATACTCACAACATGATCTTCCCAACTTTCAACTGCAAAAACTCCTGATGAAACAATCGGAGCCATCAAATCCACACGAATCCCATTTTGTTTTAACGATATATTGAGACTAAATTCACGAAAAACAATTACATTTTGAACCACACGCCAACATAGAAAACGATCGCGTAAACGTTCCATTTGAAAGTAAAAACTTCCAGATCCTGTGCAGTCAATGGTATGTACTGAAATAAGATCAGGTGAAATACAAAATGAAAAAAGATAGAAATGACAATCAAAAGGTTAGAAATAAATAGAAATAAGGAAGGGAAAGGAACGTACCGCGCGCAAAGCTTTTGTGTGGTTGTAAAGTATCGGATGGATTCGAGATAACAAAACGTGGAAGCTCCTTGTCATCGTCTTCAAAACAAGCAAATTGCGCCTCTTGAAAAAGCGGCTGCATGCTTTAAAACGATACGTGGATGGTGATAGCGCAGTTGTAGTTAAGTACGAATCTGAGTTGGATATTTGTGAATTGTTTTGAGTCGACCAAATTTTGTATCTTCATTTCCCTAACGACATTTAATTCAATATGATGGATACTTTACGGTGGCAGAGACAGAAGCTTTTGGACCCTGAAAGTGGTGAGCCGACCGAAGACTCGCTTAGATCTGATGCTGGTGTTTCATTATGTCCAAGTTTATCGTATCACGAGCGTTTTATCGGCTGCATCACGTGTTTTCTCTTAGGTTTTATACTGTCGTTGGGCTCAACATTCCGATTAGCGAAATTAATGCACGGCAATCCAGCACCTTTTGCCATCGCTTATACTATTGGCAACATTCTCTCTATTGGCTCGACCACATTTTTTGTCGGTCCATGGAAACAAATGCAGACAATGTTCCATACGAAACGTCGCTATTCAGCCGTGTTTTACGTCAGTTTTATCTTTGTAACGCTATTATTGTGCTTTTCGCATCACATTCATCATCGACTGTTCTTCGTCTTGATTTCGTTGCTCGTGCAATTCATGGCTTTGATTTGGTACACGCTTTCGTACGTACCCTATGGTCGAACAATCGCAAAGACTACTTGTAAACGTTTTCTTGGGTTATCCAATGACGACGATATGTAGAACGAAGCTAAGAACAAGACTAAGTATAACCAAGTACACTTTGATACATAAGTAGCATGAGTAATGATAAGAAACGAGTCAAAACTGATTTTGTATTTAATTTGCTTCAGCCGTATTCTGTCTCAGTTCGTTTTGGGTCTTTGAGAAGACTTTTCGCTCTGTTTGTCATCTTGTGCTACATGTATGTGCTTGAGATCTTTAGCTTCGATCATGAACCAATTGATAGAAATTGTAAGTCCAATCACAAGGAATAGCATAATGAAGACATGGTATGAGTCTTCTAACTCAGTGTAGACAAGTGATAGCATCACGACAAATAGTAACGCCAGTACAACATTCAGCACGATGACGAACTCGCGGCTACCAGGCCGTAGAAAATTTTGGACCACGCTTTGCATCGATGATGGAATTCTTTTCAGACTAAATTCTTGATTATAAATCCAACTATTATCCTAAAGGATACGTAAGGAATAACCCAAGGGTATGATTATTATTGAAGGTAAGACAAGCAAATTAATATTGAGCTCTTTGAATTTTTGTGACGTGAGGAAAACTAGAGGTGAAAAACAAAAAGCGACATCCGTCTCTGCACCGACGTCCAAAGACATAGAGCTCGACATGGCGGGCATGACATAAGATGTAGTCTGCTACCCTGCATCAAAGCGAAGAATTAAACATTAAAAATAAAAGGACGAAATAAAATACTTTACTCACAAAAAGCACGTGAATGAACCTTTGTCCTCGCATCCGTTATAAGATCTAGAGCCATGCTTTCCAGTAGTATTGTGAGTGTATTTGGAGATTGTTCAATCATGATTTGTCGTCAGGATTGCGGCGAGTTTACCGTACACATTGCACAAAGGAAGCTAGTGACTCTCAGAAACCGTGTAAACAAACGCAGAGATTGACACGTGCGCTTCTACCAAAATGGAACCGAGAGTTGGTTAAGGAACCGACATTGAGAGCTCGCTTTGCTATAGAAAAGTACGTAGAACAATCCAACCTTATTCGCTGCCCAACCGAATATATCCATTAATGAAATTACCCTCAAGATACGTCGTCACTTTTGCTGTGTCAATCGATAACGCCCAGCTGCACGAAAAAGTTTGTGGCCATAATAATCGAAGAGTTGTTTACAAAGTTGAGTTTCAGAGAGATAGCACTGAGTGCAAGGGCCAGCGCCATTTTGGCATTTCTTATACCATTTTTTGCTCGCTAAAGTATCGCATTTTCGTTTCTTTGAAGAGACGTCTGGCTCTTTATCTGCTCATCCTGAACCAGTAGCTCTAACAGCGGGTTCGTCCAATGACTGACAGGATTTTCGGACAGTGATCATTCAAATTTCATTCTCAGTTTTCGACACACCCAGAACATCACAAATCAGTCTTGCCAATGAGAATTCACTTCATTTTTTTTATTATAACTTTGGTAACTTTTGTATCCAAGACTAACTCTGTTGGTGGCCTCGCTGGCGATAGACCGAGTATACTTGTTATTCCCAACTCAAAAACCGAATTTGAGCCGCCAACGGAAGCTGAAGAGGCCAAGACTACGATATCCACCTCACCACAAGAAGCTAAAAAGGTCAAGACTAGTTTTTTTATCAAGGCTGTTTTAATCAGATTAGTTAAGTGCTTCAAGGCTTAAACATCGATTTTAGGATCGGAAGTCGCCGGTGGTCGCAGCTGAAATGCGCCATATACTTCGTAATACATCGAGTATTCAAATATCCTTCTTCGCTTTCATAAACGACAAGATCAATCGTAGCTACACGTCTAGGCGTCCCATATGACAATTACCCCCCAAACTACCGATCTCTCGCACTCTTTTGACTCTATTTTCGCTTTGATCATCAACTTAAATATAGTTACAATTTACTACTCTTTCCAACTCTCCACGTTCCAAATCTTGCGCTATTGCACATGGCAACCCCATCTCGCGACGGCGGTTTTAGTAATTTAAGCTTTATATCAGTCGGTGATCCTTACGGCCAAAAGAAAGCAAAGGAACGAGGTCAAGGAGGCGATTTAAAACCTTTTCTTACATGCCCGTCGAAAAAAGGTCAACTAGCTGCCACTTTTGGTCCAGGTTACCCCAAGTTTGATCCACTTGGCGGCGAGTACGCCGAACAGTATAAATTAGAATGTCGCCGTCGACTTGAAAATACAAAAAAGTTTGTCAAACCAAATGGATTTTGTTTCTCGAATCCTGCTCAGAGTCACACTGGCTCAGGAGATTATTATGGAGCATTTAGCAAGTTTGAACGGAATGAAGATGAGATTCACAAAGTCATTCAGGAAAATGCAATGTCTCGACCTAATCCAAAAGCTAGACAGTTTGAAAAGAAAAACGTGCTTACGAACCCTGGAAGTCGCGGGACGTTTGGGTATGCTAATACTACAATCGGTGAAACTATCCCAGCGATGGACGCCGACTATGGATCTGAGCGGAGGGTTGCTTTACTTGACATTGCACAACATAGAGAAGCTGTTGGTGATCGCAAGCCATTTAAATCTACTGCAGAAGGAGTGGATTTTTTTGACAGTCACGAACATGTTGCAGCATCTCGAATTTTGAGCTGGGATGAGCAGTGTCAGGCCAGACGACAAGATGCAAAAGAAACGATGAATCCTAAGGAACGTGCAACAGCTAGCGCACCAAGTTATAAACCATGGAGGCCCAATTATCCAATTGTAGATGGCGTATTTGAGAAATTTCCAGAGAGTTTACCAGAGCCATACGATGAAGCCATTGTGAATCGTGCCATGCTGCCTATACGCCGTAATCCCGTTAAACTTGCAACTAAAAACTTACCCGAATCATTACGCGAACGTAAGGCATTTAAACCTAGTAGTGGACCAAAGACCAAGCTTACTCGAGGAACGTGCTTGCTTGGTATTTCGAAGCACCATATCTGATAACAAGTATAAAATTCCCTTATAAAGATAGGTTACTTTTATACATCACCTTCTCCTACGCTGATCTTTTCAAGGTTTTGTCTTTAAAGCCAATGCGACAGAGCACAGCCGAGCCACAAGTCCATGGATTTGCAGTAGAGATGACACTCCGTCAGCAATGCACATGTGAGTGGTGCCAATACGCTTAATAAATTCCAATTTCAATTTCTCGTCCTCCATTGGCAGCGCCTTGCATACTCTGAAAATTGTTCCAATGATATCTAACGACGAATAACCACTTTTCCATAATGCAATTGCCTGCTTCTCAGCTCCATCAATCTCTCCAGCAGCACAATGATTTAAGATCTCACGTACAACAGCTGGATGAGGTTGGTCGCAAACTTTAAACACGTTTTCATCACTGATAAAATTAAATCCACTTGCTGTAGCCTGTAAATTATTAAGCGCATTGCGCATGTCACCTTCTGCTGTAAAAATGAGTGCAGCAAGTCCTTCCTCATTGTAGCCAACATTCTCCTGTTGACATACAGTCAGTAGACGACGTAGGAGCATCTCGTCCGGTAGCCGTGTGAAACGCAATATAGCGCAACGACTCTGAATAGGTTCAATAACTTTTGTTGAATTGTTGCAAGCCAGTGCGAATCGAGTTGTAGCCGAAAAGATCTCCATGGTACGACGTAATGCTTGCTGAGCTGCGGCGGTCATAGAGTCGGCCTCATCCAGAATGACAATCTTATGGCGGCCAGGAGGTAGCGTCACTTTTTGTTGTGCAAACATCTTAATCTTGCTACGAACCGTGTCGATACCACGATCATCTGATGCATTAAGCTCTAGTACCGCCTGCTTTACGCTAGTACCGAGTAACTCGCGTGCTAGACACAAAATACTTGTGGTCTTTCCAGTTCCTGGTGGGCCAGCGAGGATCAAATTTGTCATGTTTCCCATCTTTGCCATAGCCTGCAAACTTGCGATTGTATCGCGATTGCCCACGACGTCCGCTAGAAGGCGCGGTCGGTACTTTTCAACCCACGGCGCCTCGAAATCGTCGGCCATGATATAATAGTGTACGTGGAATTAGAAGCCTTTGATTTTATAGTCTCTATGAGAGTTAAATTGTTTACTGGTGCTCTTTGTAAATGCCGCCAACTAAGATCTTGTTGTTTGTAAGTTTAAATAAGATTAGACAATTGCCAGCATCGTGAAAAATTTGATACAGCTTGAGCTGACGATACTCTGTATTATCTTTATGGACTGCGCCAGCGAATGCATAAGCTCACTATAAATTTTGGACGATATTACAGCAACGAGGTCATAATTGCCAGCATGAAGCACGTTGTGACAAAGTAGAAATACGCTGATCAGATGTTGCAAAGTGTGGCTGCGCTTTATTGGCGTGATCACGGCTCAACCGACTGCGAACCGCGTCATGAGGTGAGAAACTCCATCGCTGCGTTGTGTTGTCGGAACAGTGACCCTTGATCTCAATGACACCCAACAAGAAGGCTTGCTTACTCACAAGCTCATATATTTTTTTATTACGTAAAAGTACCTGCCTTTCAAGAATATGAGGCGTGATCCATGGACTTCCACGCTTTTCTCCATGATCAAATGATCCTTGATGTATGAATACTCGAGAACTTCAGTTCTCGAGTAACGTTTCACACAGCTTCCCACCAAATTGTTTTCTAAAGACATTGGTCGGCACGAGACCAGTGCACGAAGTCACCTTTGCTGATGTTGCCAGCATGCCCCGCTTGGCGATCTATTGCTGCATTTCCTTGCGGTTTTTGACTTTTTAGTGTATCTCCGGCAGACTATTACGTAGAAGATCAAGCTCATCGTGGAGCTTTTCCAAATCGATGCGCAAAACCTAAAGCTTGTCATTTATGCCTTATTTCTCAGTAGAGTCGAGGGGCTCTGACGAGGTGAGCATCGTGTAAGGCACAACAGGCACCTTGATGCTGAGAGTAAACAGGGTTCTGTTTCAGGTTGATTTGGACAAGCGATGATGTGCTTGACAGTACTACTGACCCACGGATGATACACTGATCATCCGCTCGTTCTGGGTCGTGGCGCACACCGAGTACATTTATACTCACTCCACCCGCACGACGTCGCTTCACGGGCAAACAAACAGCTCTTGTTTGCGTTCAGCTTCGATCAATTATCTTGCATACGTGCAAAGAACTTTTGTAGCACTGGGATTATGTAATACTATCTTGGCGAACACGACAACTACCGTCTACTCACACCACAAAACAATTCCACAGATACCTCCTGCATCAGGTTCTGGTAATGCAGTGGCGAATCAGTAGCGCACTGTGGTACTCGTAATGGCGTAAACAACATACAGCTTACGTTGAAAATGAGCGTCTCATGTGGGTCTTCGTTAAGTTGAAGCTGCCAGAATCATATGAGCTGTCAAACTTGGTGAAGTACACTGCATCCTTTACCCTCACGTTTATCGTCAGTATAAAACCATGATAGATTTTCAGTATTGGTCGGCCGCAGGTCCACCAGTGGTACGATAGCATATTTCAGGGCCCTTCTTGTGGATTGAAGTTCGGCACATGCACAGCGGCTCTGATGTTTTGTACAACGTACGTGAATACTTACAAAGTCTAGACACTTCGCAAAAAACTTGCACTTGGTAGTACTTGTAGTCAATCCACGCCTGATCTCCCGGCTGGGCTCGGAGGGTGTGGCGAACCTCGTTGAGCAAGGGCACGAGGCCATACGCGTGCGCCTAGAGGCGTTTTTCAACTCTGTTAGAGCACTTACACCAAAATCTGTCAGCGTCGACAGCGTCTACGACGCCACCGTTGACGACGGATGATTCCTTCTGACCCAGGCCGCTCATGGTGAGCGTTAAGACCTTCGAAGGTAAGGATGGAGAGAGCTTTCTTCTCTGGATGAGAGAAGCCGAGATAGTTATGTCATCCGCCATGATCCAAAACGAGCAACAGCGCGTGGCGCTAGTTATCCCCAAGCTGGGGGGCCGAGCGCAAGTATGGGCACTAACGTGCAGCGTTTCGGTTGAAGCGGCGTTGCTCCCCTGGGAGAAACCAAAGCAGCAGCTTCTGCGACTATTCTCGTTACCTACTCAGGCATATCGCGTGAGATTGCGTCTCCTTGCTTCTCGACAGGGCAAGAAGGAGCTGGTGGACGTTGTCCAAGAGTTGAGAACTCTCATTGCAAGGGTGACAGCAGATCCTCTCCCCGAGGCGGTCGCCGTGACCGTCTTTATGATGGGCCTCCGCACTTGGGTGGCCAGAATGAAAGTCTTCCGTGTACATCCGTCTTCTTTTGAAGAAGCGGTGAACGTGGTATTTAATGTCGAATTCGACTTCAAGTCCGCACGACTTGGTTGAAATGCACACCCTCATAGCTCATCGATCAGGCCGGAGTCAATGGATCTCAGCTGTGCTGAAAGAGAGGAGGAAAGCTTCGAGCTGCCGAGCAATGTGAAAACATCCGACGGTGTTTTGTTTGTGATGCCATCCGTCATCTTCGGACGGGTTGCCCCGCAAGGCGCGTAAAGGTTCATCGGACCGACGCCTTTCTTCTAACAAGCCGGGTTAGACGCGGGGAATCGAGACAACCCAGTAAGCGCGGGGTGCCGTACTGAAAGAGTACTGAGTTCTGGTGAGCCTCAAAGCGGCAGTGAGCAGCAAGGCTCAGCCCCAAATGGCATTGTGCTCTTGAGCATGGAATGTGTGTGCGAGCCAAGCTTGCTGGTCGTAAAATCGACCGTGAAGGGCATAGAAAAGCCACGGAGGATTCTGATCGATCCCGGGCTTTGAGAAATACTGCTCGACGCATCACGATCGAAGGAAGTCAGCCGTATGCTGAGGCGCTGAAAGCGCGGTTGAGTGACATCGTCACTGTTCGCTTAGCGACAAGGGCTTGTGTCACTGTGCCGAGGGTCCCTATGAATCTCGGTGTCAAGTTTCTTGACTTTATTATCATGGAACGCTGCTAAATATTAGACTTAAGTTCAAGGTATGACCTTATCCTTGGTTTGGCATTGTTGAAAACCATGAGCCATGGATCAATCGGAGGTCGAAGACCTTGGGCGCTACGCGCGTGTCTCCTGGTGGAGCTTTGGTGAGTCATGAACCGACCTCTGCTAGGAAGCAGAAGCGCCATTGGCGCGGGCACTGGGCCGGGACGGTCAATGTGCTGGATTTCGGAGTATCCGAGTTGTTTGACAACTCGGATACATCGAAGGTTTATTGGACAAGAGTCTCGAGCATGGCTCGCGGGCTGAACGTTGAGTGGCACGTAACCCACTGAGCACTGCTCAAAAATTAAAGCAGTCGCTACATGCCAATAGTGGCATGGCTGGCCAAAGGCCAAGGCATCAAGGACGAGGTCCCAGTGATGTACGTGGAGTGTCACTTAGCCCATTGAGCACTGCTCACGTAACAAGCGTTGCTGCATGTTAAAAGTGTCATGGTCGGACGAGGTCCGGGCACCTTAGGCGAGGCCCTAGTGATGCGCGTGGAGTGGCACGTAATGTACTGACTACTCCGGTTGAAGCAGCTGCTGCATGCCAAGAGTGGCCTGATCGGACGAGATCCGAGGCATCTTGGGCAAGGCCCTTCTATGCGCGTGGAGTGGCACATTATCCACTGGACGAAGACAGCAAAAATAGCATCTCTTCGTTGGATTTGTTGATAACATCAAGGCTCCGATGGAGCAAGGAGAGGGGACACTGGACGACGCTGAGTGCGTGTTCCCACTGGTCTCGATGAGATAAAACCTCTATAGAGAGTAGACGGCGAAGCAGTATGATATCTTTAAGACGCAGGGCGTCGACTCTGACCCATCGTGTGTCTACCGTAGACGATAGCGCACATACACTTGTCAACGGCATGAAGGAGGTAGATGACGGCGACGTCACCCTCGAGGCTATTTCTGCTGTAGATGCTCTTCTTGAGCTGGATGAGATGTTCTTCGGAGAGTCTGGCGGTGCCTTGAAGGCAGGCGATTTAGCCAAGGTGGTCGTCAAACGACCGAAAGAGGAGATTAAGTCGTCGTCGCTTCTGGATGAAGCTGTCCTAGAGGACTCCAGAGGGTGCTGAACGCACGAACTGGATCGTCGATCCTGTAGTATCCCTTGGATCCGTACTATTCCTTGATAAAGGATATTCAAGACGTCGTATCCAAAGACCCGCCGTCGGTCCTACCTTCGGACCGAGGTGTGCTCCATGAGATTGACCTGGTTCCGGGAGGCAAAACCTGCGTAACACGCCAATACCCCTGCCCAAGGAGCAGAGTGATGTCATTGACGCCTTCTTCCGTGCGAAGCACGACGCAGGAATAGTGCGTGAGAGCAAGTCTCCCAATTGGACACTCACGTGTTGTGTCCGGGTGCCGAACGGCAAGTGGTGTATCGTTCATGCTTACAATTAGCTAACCCTAGCAATATGGTTGGCTGTACAAAATACGGTGCACTCGACTTGGTCGATGGTTATGACCAATTGCCCATTGGAGCGAGTGCTATTCCGCTGACAGCGCTGAGTACTCCGAGCGGGATGCTTTGGAATTGGTTGGTGATGCCCAAGGGCTGTCAAATGCACCAGCAACATTCAACCGTTTTGTGACGCCATTTTTCAGGCCCCTCCGGGCGTATGCACAGACATATTCGACGACAGCTTTGTCCACAGTCGTGCGGGGCACGGGAGGACAGATGTGGACAACCACATCGTTCATTTGAGAGCGTTGCTTGAGTTCGTGCGCACGAATAAGCTGTATGCTGTTGCAGATAAATGCATCTTCGGCGCTGAAGAAATCTACTTGTTAGAGTGCTTCATTGAGAAGCGTGTCTTTCGAGCGGATCCCGCTAAGATCAAGGTCATTTATGAACTAGCCGGTTTCAAAGAACCGAAAGGGCTTGCGCAAGTGGCTTGGACTCGCTAACTACTTGCACAAGTATATTGCGAATTATGCGGGAATGGCACGGCCATTGTCGAATCTCCTTAAGAAGGGTACGGAATGATGTTGGGACACGAGGCTTCTGACAGGGTCAAAGACAGCCTCCTTCAGGCACCAATCTTGGCGTTGCCGGATCTTGATCGTTCTTTTTCGTGTCGTCTGTAATGCTTCGGACTTTGCCATCGGCTGTGCACTGCTAAAAGCAGACGTCGAGGGGCGAGATCGGATGATCGCGTTCAAATCTCGCCAGCTTAAGGCTGCGGAGAAGAACTGACTTATCTATGACAAGTAATTACTTGCGACGAAGTATGCATTTGTCAAGTTCAGAGTGCACCTGCTTGGCTCAAAGCCGTTTGTGATCTACACAGATCATGTATCATTACGCACTGCGATTCAGTCGCCTGACGCTCGCAGAGGATGGCCAGGTGGCTCTGATTCTTCGCAGAATATAACCTCGAGGTGAATTATACGCCAGGAAAGCAGAATGCTTTGGATGATGCGTTGTCATGCAGACTGGACAATGAGCTTGCTCATGTCACGACGGTGACGTCGTCAGTGGTGGACTTGATCCGCGCCGCATATGCTGGTGATGGTGTATGTGAAGCGCTGCTACAGGCTCTCAGGGGCAACGAGTTTATAAGCTCGGACGAACTATTGTCGGCGCGTTTGCGCGCACGTTTGCCCCGATTATCGTTAGATAACGCGTCGCTGTATTATAGCACCGATTCGGCGAATACGCCACGAATTGTGGAATCTCAAAATGAAGATTTCAAATACTGTTTCTTCTATGAGGCCCCCGACACGCCACTCAATGGTCATCTCGGTCATGAGAAGACGTACAGCTCTGTAAACTGCGCTGTACAAATGGACGAGTACATAGGTGCGCACATGTGAGACGTGCCACAGTGTAAAACCCCTCTTCGAATGCGGCGGCGCCGCTGGCCTTTACCGGTACCCTACCGGTATTAGCAGTCTATGAGTATGGACTTTGTGTTTGGCCTGCCGAAGGACTTAGCGGGCAACACAAGTGTGGTTGTCTTTGTGGGCCGTATGAGCAAGATGGCTTATCTTGCGGCAGTGTCGGACACCATCGACGGTGTAACAACAGCGACGCTGTTTATAAATCGTGTTTCTCGACAACATGGACTCCCGGAGCCAATTGTCTCTGATAGAGACCCACGCTTCACTGAGAAGTTCTAGTCAACAGTCTTCAGGGTGCTGGGCACCATGTTGACTATGTCAGCAACGGACCATCCGCATACCGATAGTAAGACCGAGCACGTGAATCATGCCATTGTAGATGTTCTTCGCAGCATCTGCACTGAGCCACCGAAGCGCTAGAGCGCTAAGTTGCCACTCGTAGACTTTGCTTTGATCAATGCAGTGCATTCATCTACCGGCTATACACCGTTCTACGGACTTATTAATCCTCGTGTCCCGCTGACGCCGCCATCCCATGACTACGGGTTTGGTAAGGGAGAAATAGCCGAACGGCTAGCTGATTTCAGCCCCCTCATCGTGCGTAAGGAAGGCGAGGACTTCCTGTCTACTAGACTAAGTGTCTTACGACATATTCGCGATGCGATGGCTAAAAGCCAAGCCATGCAGAAGGATTATGCGGACGGAAAAGGAGAAGAAATGTTGAAAGCTCGAGGACCTGATTTTATTTAACGCTAGAACTCTTCTAACACATCGCGTTTCTGCTGGCTTTAAGACGAAGCTCCGTCCACGGTTTACTTTTTATGGTCGTGGCCAAGCGAGGCCTAGCGTGTACGCTGATCTTTCCGAGAAAGATGCGCGCCCATCCGATGTTTTAGGTTGCCGCTTATTAAGTCGTACTGAGATCCGGCACACGCGAACGCGGAAGCAGTGGTGCCGGAGCGGCGCTCAAAGGCGCTCGACCACCCAGAAGTTGATTCAGCACCTGGTTTTAACGGCACCAGGTGCCCCACCGTCGCACGAAGTGACGTATTCGTCTTCTAGACGGCCAGGAGCCACTCCGACAGAGCTCGGTAATCATCAACGCCAGGCAGTCGGTGCACAAAGTGCTCCAGACTCTCGAGGTCTTCCGCACAGCGGTAGGCGCTCTCTGAGAGATGCTCGGCAGAGTGCCGATCACGACGGAATTTGTCCTCCAACGCTCGAATAGCATCGCGAGTCACCGCACGGCGATCGACTAAGTCGTCATCGTCCGCCGCCGTCTCTTCTCGATGAGAATGGTGGCGTCCACTACCACGTAGAACACCTTGTGGGTCGGCGTCGTCGATGGAGTTTAACCCAATATCTTGTGAAGTGGCGGGGATACCCAGACGCCGAGAACTCGTGGGAGTTTGTGGTGCCAATTCGGCAAGACCACCCAGACGTCGTAGACGCTTATGATCAGAAAAATCATGACGATTCGCGTCGCCTTGCACACCACGCTTCTTGGCAGTAGCTCGGAAAGTCGGAGGGCCATGAGCTGATCCCAAACAGCGGCTCTGAGCTGCTGCTGTCGCAAATTTACCCGTGTGAGAAACCACAGAGCTTGCAGGAGCGTTATAATTTGTTTCATATGTCGCTGGGGGACAATACACTGAAGTCGGCGTTGCG